TCATGTTTACTTTCACACTAGGCAGCTCAGGTTTTTTTAAATTTTATTTTAAAAACACTTGATCAAAATGCAGGTATGTAGGAATAAAAAGGTTATTATAGATTATCTTTACTTGAACCCAAAGAAGCTTGGGTATTTTCTTTTTTATTATAAGAACACCCGTCCAAAATATTGGTAAATTGGAGAAAAGTGTATAGATTATCTTTACTTCTATTAAAAGAGGCTCAGACTTTTTTTCTTACTTTAAAAATCCCGATAAAAATACAAGTAAAATGGGGTAAAATGGTCAGTATAGATTATCTTTACTTTAACACAAAGAAGCTCACGTTGTTTTATTATAAAAACACCCGAAAATACAGGTAAAATGGAGTAAAACGGTCATTTTAGAATATTTTTACTTAACGCTAAAAAGCTCAGGTTTTCTATTTTAAAAATACCTGATCAAAATACAGATAAAATGGGGGTAAAATGGTCATTACAGATTGTCTTTACCTTAATACAAAGAAGCTCAGATTTTTTTTTTGTTACAAAGGCACCGGATTAAAATACAGGTAAAACGGACTAAAATGATCATTATAGATTCAACACTGGAAAAAAAAAATTATTATAAAAACACCCGATCAATGATATATGAGTAATTGGTCATTACTGATTTTCTTTGATTTAACACTAGGATGCTCAATTTTTTTTTTTTTAAAAAAAAATCACTTCCACCTGTGCAAAATACACACGTTTGTTTCTTTATTGAATACATAGTCTACTGCACTGTTCCCAGCAGATCACCGAAGTCAAGCATCACTGGCTGGGGTCAGTGTGCGGGTGGGTGACCACCTGGATCACTCTGCGTAGGGACCGAGGGTGTGCGGTATTGGTCCTAGTTAAACTGTTCTACCGTAAAGTGCTCGACTTCGCGTGCAGGTCGTCGGGCTACCGAAGCGCTGGTGCCATCCCCTCTGCAGAGGATAAAAATTGTGATGGCTTGTCTTCGGATCATCCTCTGGTATGATTCCCAGACCGTCGCCAATAGCCCATTGTTTAGCTCCAGTATGACTTATATTAACTACAACAACAACATAGTCTACTGTAATAAGTTTTCAAATGGTCAGAGGTAACAAAATTTAAATTAACGAAGTAAATGGTTTCAAAATAACGAAAATAATATTATGTTTCGGTTTGTTCTTTAAGAAAAATTAAAACTAGCGTTAATCTCGAAAAAAAAAAAGTTGTACGAGTTTAACGATAACATACCTGAAGAACCGTACTTGAAAGAAAAGAAAAAAAAATATGGGATTTACATGTCGCTGAGAATCTTTAAATTTTTAATCTGAAATTCTGCAATTATAACGTTAACATTACAATTGCAACATAACCGTTATAACATAACGGTTATGTTATAACATAACGATATAACATTACGGTTTGTAACATAAACGTTATAGCTAAATCCTATAACTAAATGCCAAAAGAAAACAAAAGGAAATCTGACAAAAGTTCTCAAAATATAACATTTATTTTAAGAAAACAGCATAAATTGTGTGCAATAGTTTCCAATCGTATAGTTTTTAAACAAAGCTGTCTACAGGTAATAATAAAATCTTCACGAATATATGACATAATGTTTAAATGAAGAAAATATGAAAACTCTCTGCCACTTCAATTAAATTTTTATTTATTTACGTTATCAAACTGGTTGTTTTTTTTGTTTCCTTGAAAATTGTCAAAATAATAATAATTAATTTCTGAAACCCTTTTTTATTCCAAAAAAACTTCTCATGCTTAGAATTTGAGTATTTAAATAGTATTTTAAAAGAACTAGTTTTTGAAAAAGAATAGTGAGTTAAAAAAGTAATAAGTATCAAACACAGCACATTTTTGAGATTATTATTTTTTTTTAAATTTATTTTTACGATAATTTAGGTCTTATGCTGCGCATCTTATCACCTGACAACTTTTTTCCTTATGCTCAGCTATATATTTTGCGCAAAGCACCAAATTTTCAGAGCATAAATACTGAGTTTATCTGCCTTAGAATTCAAGTGACTTCAGTTTCTTCAAAAAATGAGGTTTTTTGCAACTCTCGCACTCTGCCTTCTTGGGGTGGCATGTAAGTATTTATATGGATTTTCGCATGTCAATTTGAATAAATTATTGACTTTATTATGATAATTATTTATTGATAGGGAATCATTTTTTTCTACATTTCTTCAACTCGATATAAAAATGAAAAAAAAAGCAATTTTACGATAAATATTCTTTAAACATTTAAATTCACTTATGCAATAGTTAAATTATGTTCACGCATGCATAGTTAAATTAATGCTTTTTCTTGTAATAAACTAAATAGAAATTTTTTTATGAGAAGTCATTAAGTATTTAATATCACATATAGACATACATAAATTAATTCTGTAATAAAACTGAAAAAAAATGTCTTGTAATAAAAAGGTTCCTAAAGATTAGATTTACAATGCATATGTTCTTATAAATAAAATAATTCTTTTTTATCCCAAGAAGAAAAATGGGAATCCTGAAACAGAAATTTTACGAGGAGAGATCGATAAATATTTAAATAAAAATGCATATTTAACAGATTTATAGCCTTTTCCAGGAACAAAACTAATTAAAATCTTTATGATAAATGGTTTGAAATATTTAGAAATGCTTAGTTTTTTTTATACATATTTCGTAGTTTTATTAATACATATTGAATAAAAGTCAATACTATATTTAATTTTTAAACATTTAATAAATAAAAATATACATAAAGAATGTTAAGTTTCCCCAGAACAGCTCGTTGTGGTGGCTTGTTGTCATGGAGGTAAGAGGAATTTAATTTTGTGACTAGGAGCAAGATTTTATTTTTATAACCATTTTCAAACAGCTGACACAATTTTTGAGTTTACGTCTAACAATGTTCAACTACACTGCCGAGCAGTTTTGAACTTAATCCAGAAGACAAGGGAACTCCTGAATCAAGTATTGGGAGAAATTTGATTTCGTAGAGAACTTTTTGATGGAACTAACCCGCATTTGCGTGACACGGAGAGAAAAACCATCAAAACCTCCAGCGGTTAGCTTGACAGTAAGGGACTCTAACCCGTGATTCGTCAACCACTGAGGATATTTCCCGTCAGCACTGCGGTCATTGCGAGCCGAGTGCGAAGTTCGTATCAACACGCCATCGCTGGAATTCGAACCCGGTTCGCCTCATTGAGAGGCGAGTGCTTTGTCCCTTGAGCCCCTACTGCCCTAATGGCATGATTGTAGCAATTGTCAGCATTGCACACCGGCCACCTTTATTTCCTAGAGAAGCCGGTGCCAGTCGATCTCAATCTGGGTGCTCTTTAATCAGCCTCTAGAGATCGAACCCTAGTTCCAGAAAAAAATATTTATAGCTGCATAAATAAAAAATGCGCAAATATTTTACGATAAATGTCTGTGGAAATTTAAAAGAACTGAATGACAGCTAAAAGCTTCAGAAATATTTTATCTTTTTCTAAATTTTGTTTATTTGTTTATTTTGTTTGTTTTCATAAGTTTTAAATTTTTTTATGCTCATGAAATAAGGAAGCGAAACAATTTCTACGTACTCTAATAAATGTAGCCAATGTAATATTTTTTCTAAAATAATGTTCAACTAAAACCTTTCTAAACTAAATCTTTCAACTTTCTAAAATATTGTTCATATTGTTCAATAAAAGCGGAGCAAAGTTAAATATTGATAAACAATAAGGTAAAGAAAAATAATAAGGCTCATCGTATGATTTTCTACGTAGTTTCTATTAAATCTTTTAATTTAAATCTTTTTTTCGTCCTCAAAATACAAAAAAATCTCCTTTGAAAATTTTTTGATAATTCATATTTGAAGGCTTGGAAAGAAATAATTTCATAATGTATATTTTTTGTATTTTACGGTCGATTTTTTTTTCTTTTCTGTGAAAAATGTAACAACCATTTTGTTACATAAAGAAACAAATGACGTTTTTTTTTTAATAAAAAAAATAGTAAAATTTACTTAAAAGGAATACTTAAAGATCAAATATTGGAATGTCATAAAACTTTTAACATTATTCTTGAGGTTAAAAATCATTGTAAATATTTTTGTGGAAACTAAAATTGTATTTTTCTAAAAACACGAAAGAAATATATACTGAAACTTTACATTTTACAGTTAGCATTGTGTTTTCAATGTGCAAAAGGGACATCATATTTATTTGTTAGGAAAATTCGTTTTTATAAAACTCATTTTTAACTTAAAACTTCTATAAAATTTAGTTTTTTTTTAATTAAAACAGATTAAAACTGTACAAATTTTTAAAATACGATTCACAAAAACAGATGTTGAAGAATTTGAAGCTAAGAATGATTTAAATAGGTATAATTAAAATTTTTGAAATATTAAGCTAAAAGATTTTATGCTTAAAAAATAATGCAGTTTTCTTGAAATATTACGACTTTTTTCATAAAATTGATAATTAGGTTAAATTTCTCGAATAAACTATCTTGTGAACTTTTAACACAAATAATTTTATGCTAAATATTCGAACAAATTATCCTATGAACTTTTCACACAAATAACTTTTTCATTAGAAAAACGATTAATAAAAATAAGAAACTTTATTTGGAGAGATATTCAGACACACTTCAAGAAGAAACTTATCACTAATAAAATGTTTTTAAGTGTAAAATGTTTACTAACACTCTTATATTTTTCAAAACAACAAACCTTATATAGCATTTCTTTAAATTGAAATTTAAGATCTTTCGATAAGTACATTGCTTGCAATTTTTAAGAAATTCGCATCTGATACGAAAAAAATTGAAACCTCATCAGTAAAATTGTTATCAATTTCAATTCCAGTATCGGTCATTAAATGTCAAAAAACTGCAGATTTTCAAGTTAGTCGAATGATGCTGGACTACACTAAATATTTAGACATAAAACAGCAAAGAATAAATCAAAAGAACACCTTATGTCTGCCATATATTATCTTATCAGGCAACGAGACGCATTTTTAAGAACTCAGCTCAATCTTATTGATTCCATGTACACAATTATTTTAATTATAAATATCTTGGTGTTAGCTTAGAAGCTTCAGAGGATTAAAGCTTTTGCCTCAAGATGAAGCTGCTGTCGGCCATCGTTATACTTTTTTTCAGTTTGACTTGTAAGTTACATAGTTACTACTGACTTGTAAACACAATTAATAATTTTAAATATTATATTTTAAATTTAAGATATAGAATAATATTATTATTTTCTATTACTTTTATTCACACCAATTACTTTATATTCATTGAATAATAATAGTTTAATTATATTAAACTAGTACTACCGTTGAAAGCTAGAGATTCAATGAGCAACAGTTAAGGAATATGTTACAAATAGTTTAATTTTATCGTTAAAATAGAACTGTTTGATGTAATTCAACTAGTAATACAGTACTACTTTAAATATTTAAATGATTAATGTGAAGTACTTTTATTTCATTTTTATATATTTTATATAATAACCGGTGTTGAACAAAGTTTAGATTTTACGACTACGAACGTTCACCTTTTTAACCCAATCCAGAAAACAGGGGAACAACAGAATCAAGTATTGCGAGAAATCGACCTTCGCGGAGGATTTTTTTATGGAACTTACTCGCATTTGCGTTACATGGAGAGGGAAACCACAAAAACTTCCTACGTTTAGCTTGACAAGAAGGAGACTCTGACCCATGATCCGTCAACAACTGATGATATTTTAAGTCGGCACTGTAATCTTTTGCGAGCCGATTGCAGAACTCATATTAGCCATACTTATACCAGCTTTCGCTGTGATTCGCACCTGTAGCCCTCTTTGGGAGGCGATCACGCTATCTCCTAAACCACTTATGAACCAATGACGCGCACTTATAAATTATTTCAAGATAATTAACATTAAAAGCAAACAAAGCAAAACTAACTCCTAAGAAATGAGTACATAATAATGATAATATGTTTCATTTAGCAATCTGTATAAGACTATCTAACAAATTCAAATTTAAATGCACTGAGCTTTTTTTTTTAATTTTCAAAACTTTTGAACATAAATATTTTTTTAAATATTTCTAAGCTGTTTTAAATACTTTAAAACTGAAAAAGTATTAATGGTTTAAGAAACGCTACTTACGATTTGTTTAAATAATGCCTGTATGTTTTTGAAATAATATTTTCTGAACGGAAACAGTTAACTAGATTCTAAAGCATAATTAGAGAAAATCTTTTAGACAACAACAATATAAAGTTAAAATCAGAAATATAGCTAATAATATTATACATTCCTATTTCAATCAAATATTTCTCATTTTGATGAATTAAATTCCATGTATTGATCTGGATGACGGTAATCTACAGTCAGAAATTTCTTTACCGTATTTTACCCTTTATGAGAGCACCTAAAAGCTCAGTAATTTTTACCCAAGAGCCTTGGTAATGATTTTGGTAAAATTAACAATAAAATATGGTTTTATAGTATGTGATAAAATTTATTAAATGTGGTAAAATATGATAATTTTATCATGACACCTTAGAGCGTGGCACAAAAACTATTTATTCGGTAAAATTTACTTTTCTGTTTTGTATTTTTTGCTATATGTGTGGTAATGAAAACTATAATTTTTAAAACCAGAATTTCCGGTAAACTGTTACTAAATGAAAGGATGTATTGCTAAATGAATGGTTAAAATACCGTATATTTTAGTTTTTAATACGAGAATTATGTTTTTTTAATCAGAAATATCATAACAATACAGTAAGGCAATTTTACCAGAATTATTTTTTCCCATATAAGCACTTAGAAACTTAATTTTTTATAACTATAGGACTAGAAAATCTGCTTTTAAAACATTAAATACGTCCTAACTAAAGCTTTAGGTACGGCTTTAAGGTTATAGACGTTTTTAACAAATTATTCTGATATTATATCATTTAATTTATACCGTACGTGCAATCCTGGTACTTCGTTCTCTTGTGAAATCTTTGTTAACCTATAAATTAAAACAAAAAAGGTTTTCCTTATAGTTTTTTAAAAAAGAGCTTCGATTTCAAAACTTTCCGAACTTGAAATTTTTCGAATTAAAATCAAATGTAATAATTTTTAAAATTCAAGCATTTTTTGAGAACTCAAATGATACCTTTTTACGAAAATAAGGAGAGTTTATAAATCATAGAAATATTTCCCTAAAATTAAAAAAAACCCCATTAAAAACACTTTTTTTAAAAAACAACATAAAACTATAATTAAGTTTAGTTATTTTTTTCCTCAAAAAATGTAATTCAGAACTTAAAAGTAGAAAACCTGAAGATTGATATTGTTCTGATCAAAAAGTGTTTTTTAAGTGCATATGTCAACGTTTTGAGAAGAAACGCTTTTTAAAAATTACGCTTTTAAATTTTTTGTAAGCAGTACAAATTGGCTTATTTTATTGACTTGATTAGTTGACTTATTTTAGTAAGTAGTTGACTTATTTTAACTAAAACTTACGTGGTTACTTAAGGAAAAGAGTTCTTAGAAAGAAACTAAAAGAAAAAAAAGCATTACTCATTACTTATAAGAATAGATTTATTTTTACTAATAAACTGGCCATAAGACTTGAGGAAGAAGGCACAAGTGGAACATTTACATTTCTCCTCTTCCCTTTTATTGTAATCTCAAATAAATAAATATGTCAACTTTAAAGGGAGCGTATAAACGATTATAGGACTCAGTGGAGCTATTTCCATCAGTTATGTTTCACCGAAACAAATAATAGCTTTAACACAAGGAAAAAAAAGGAAGAGATCGAATTTAATAACCAACCAACAGCGTAGGAGAATCAAGGATAGCCGAAGTTTAGTATGGGATTTCATTTGCAGAACTAATTATTTAAAGGAATTTTTGCAATCAACAAATCATAAACAAATTTTAAAAAAATGTAAGGGCTTTTAAAAATTATACTTTTTAAAATCCACACCGATCGTTATGATTAAATATGTGAAAAAAGAAATTTTTTTATGTAGACATATTTAAGATACATCAATATGTAGGATTATAACACCTAAAACAAATTTGATGTAATTTATTTTTTACAATTTTCATTTCATTATTTATTATATTATGCTCATTTACTTCATTTTGTCAGAGATGTAAGACTTGTATGCTAGAAACAATGTTACATTATTAATTAGGTCAGATTTAGGACATATGGTCTAGAAACAATGTTACATTATTAGTTAGGTCAGATTGAAGACATATGGGCTAGAAACAATGTTACATTATTAATTATGTCAGATTTAAGACTTATGTGCTAGAAACAGTGTTATATTATTAATTAGGTCAGATTTCAGACTTATGTGCTAGAGATGCATTTTTAAATAGAGTATGATTGCTGTCGTGGGGCCATTTAATTTCAATAATCAGTTTCAAAATTCGCAAACAGAAACCCTCTATGGAAAACCGTTTAGTTTACGAATTAATTTTATTCCTCTCTGCATCAGAAATATTTAAATATAAATATGTAAGAATATTTTTCTTAATGTAGTAAGTAATAAAGAAAATAAACATGGCTTTAATAAAAAACAAAGTTAACATTTTACTTTCCAGATTTCCTGATAATTAATGTTTAAAATATTTTGTTTCATAATATTATATTTTAACTCAGCCAAAGATCATTTTCGTAGTCTCTGTTGTTATTACGTTTAATGAATTAAGTTTCTGTAAGAAATTATTTTTACGCACAAGAATTGAGATATACTCCAGGCTTCGGCCACTGCTCGCTAACTCTTGCCAACTCCAGAATAGTGCTCGCTTTGCAAACATACACCATAAATATTGAAATTTAACTTTTAATGCCAGACTTAATAGAAACTCTCACTGTGTCATTCGCCGCACTAACTCTATTTACATTTCACTCACGTTGACCAATCAGGGAACGGCGTCCAAAGTATAGTACCACAAGGACTAAAACAAAAATAAAAAATAAAAATCAAAATGCTAAGCGAAATAGAAGTCATTTGATAATTAATGTTTGCCATACACAGCTAAAACATACCTAACAGAAGCAGCAGATCGCTGGAGTATTTTCAACTTTATAAATTTTACATTATTTTATACTAAATAACTGAGCTGAAAGTTTCCGTAAAAGTAGTAAAAAAGATAATGGAGTTATGAGTCAAAGCCACTCGATCCCGAAATCTTTTTTCTGTGAACGAGCCGGAGCCAGTTTCGACTCGAGTATAGTAACCTAGAAGGAATACATTCGATTATCATCTAGTTTAGATTTAATTACTCCTGATTTGCTTTTACAAATTTTTGTTGTTTTGTTTAACATTTTTTGTTTTAACATTACAATATTTAGCGCTTTTTGTTAAAGAGGCATTTTTGTTTTGTTTAACTCGCTCGATGTTAACCTTGATAATGCTCTTATGGGGCTTGGCAATCGTTGTTATGAGGGTTGGCAAAAACAGTTGGCAATCGAAATGTAATATTTCGCAATTTCTGTTATAACAAAGCATTATCATTGTTAATATGGCCAAATGAAGCTGATTTAACACAGTTTTGAGTGTTATCAGTAACAGCTAAAACACTATTAACGTGTCACTAATATCCATAATTTGCTTACATTGAAAAATTAGACGAAAGGAACAAAATCCGTCCTTACTTTTAGTTCGTTTGAGCATAAATTAATTTAAAGTCAAAATGGTGAATTTTACACCATAACTGCGAAATAAGGGTGATGGCAGGACAGTACCAGTTTTTCATAATATTCGCCAACGTGCATGGGCTACATTTTTAATTTCTTTTTATTACGATAGAGTTAATATTTTTCTGATAATGATGGATGATGATAATCAATGAAAAACACTCGTTATGTAATATTTTTGATATGACATTTTTTAAGTACGAGTTAAGAAAGTATCAAAATAAAGATTTATTTTAAGGGACATTTGATTAAGTTTAAGAAAACACATTGCGAGAATAAAATGGAGAATCAGAAAAGGTTTTTCATGAAAAATTACCTTGTTAATGATAGCAGGAATCGAAGAACACATTAAATGTTTTACTTACTTGCGTGATTTTCAAAGAAAATTAGATTCACATAAGACGAGAAAAAGACCAAATGAAAAATGTATAAATAGTAAAATTTCTATTCATTTTTGTCACAGAATCTTTACCACTATTTTTGGGTCAGTTATGAAAATACAAGACACTCCATGTACCAAATTTTAAAAAATTGAAAAATCGAACAATTTAATAAATATTAACTTTAAATTGCAAACAATTTTAAAAAAATTAATCGCGGCAAACTTATTTGAAACTATTATATTTCCGGTTTCTAAACTTCTGGTTGTAAATAAGACTTACAAATGTTACTAGAAATGCTTTCAAAAATATGTAATTACGAAGATTAGAAAAAAAAAATTAGATTTCCATAAAATTTTAAGAGATTAAAAGTACTTTTAGTTCAAATAATTTAGATTTAAATTATTTAATACAACATCATTTCAAATTATTAAAACATTTCAATTATTAGGATTCAAATTGCTCTAAATATTGAAATTATTTCAATATTTAAAGCAATTTGACATTTGTTCTTTCATGTGACATTTGTTCTTTATTTGCGACCAGAAATTTTAAAAACTAAAATTATTTATACAAAAAAATTAAATATTGTGCGTGGAGTACCTTTGAGTACATGTAATTAAAGTTATATGTAATTAATTATAAAGAAGAGACTTAAAATAATAAACATAAAATACAGTATAAAACAATAAATATCTTATAAAATTTCTACAGTATTTTCTCATGAAATTTGACATATATGGTATCTTGTCTATGTATAGTATAAACAAAATAAAAATTACCTATATTTTTAAGATCTTATAGGTTTCGTGTATCCTACATGAAAAATAGTTCAAAAATGTAAATCTAGAATGACTGAAACATTTTTTTAAACCTGAAAATCTGTGTTTTCAAAACACTTATTCCCAAATCTCTTAAGATGTTTGTTATTGACTTATGAAAAAATAATTTCTACTCTATATTTTTCAATTTCTTATTTCAGATGCCAAACCAAGAACCGAACATCTTTTAAGGCAGCCACGTAAGTTGTTTGCAAAATATTGAAATTTAGAATTATTTTTCAAACAAAATTTCATTATAATTTAAAATTTATATCATGATACAAATCAATATGTTGGAATTTTGATCATTAATTTTCTGAATTGTTATAAAATCTTTGACTTGAAGAATTTTTATTTATTTAAAGAAAGTTGTTAAGCTCATAGATCTTTTATTTTGTATAATAGCCTTTTCATCTCTTGGCTTACTTAAAAAAGGAAAATAGATTAATATAAATTGTTCGAACCAATATCGAATAATTCCCCCTCAAAAATATATTTTTGTTGTAAACGATGTTTATTATATTTTATTGCCACAAAACTTTTAACATTCAATCTAACAAAACATTTAAGATAAATGCCATATAGTTCATTTACAAAATTCTTCAGAAACCAATTTAAGTGGAAAAACAAAGTGAAAATGAGTAAAAGTAAAAATACCAATACTACTTTCTTACTAGTTCAAACATGGAGTATGAGTTTTTATTTTTAATTAGCTATGTCATTCTATAATTGTATGGCTAAATATTTCAAATTAAAGATAGGGAACCAATATCTGATGTTTATAAAGTTTCAACTATAAAATTATTTTATATATAACAGGGGTTTCCAACTTACATGAGGCCAGGGGGTCGCAATTAAAAACACCAGTAAAATTTCGGGCCGCAACTTTATCAAAATCTTATATGGGACTCTTTAATGCTTGAAGGGACATTAAATATTACTGACAGATTTTCATCAAGTTGTACAAAACAAAAGTATTGAAATACAAATAAAGATAAATATTTTCTTGAATCAATATTTTCTTGGATGCAAAACCTGAGAAATAATTGTTTTGTACGGTATGTTAAATTTCACAGAAACGAAGAAATAAGGTTTTTTTTTAAAGAAGGAAAGTAATTTAGTCCATACAAAGTTTTTACGAAAATCGTCCGAAAAAAATGGCAACTAATATATTTTAGTTCGCTGGTCACAAAAAATGGTTCCGCGGGCCGGATGTGGCCCTGGGGCCGTCAGTTGGTAACCACTGATATATAACATTAACAAACAGAGCTGTAAAATTTTTTTTAAGTGATTCATTTATGATTAAAAATGTAACTAAATATTTCTACGTATTTATTTCTAGAATTCTACCCAGGCAAGGTACACCATTATGATGTGATGATGAACATGACATCTGGAGTTCCCGGAATGAGCTCTCAGGTTGCCAAGTCAGTCATTAAATTCGAATTGAAAATTTATCCAAAGACTAGCAAAGACTTGATCATACAAGTGAGTTAAAATAACTACATTATTGAATATCGCTAACTGGAATGCTTATATTTTTCAGGAATTTGGCAAATTCTTGAATCTAGAGCCGCGATGGATGGAGCGTTCGCCTTCGAATGAGGCGAACCGGGTTTCGAATCCCAGTTGATACGAATTCCGCATTCGGCTTGCACCGACCACAGTGCTGATGTGAAACATCCTCAGTGGTAGCCGGATCATGGGTTAGAGTCCCCTTGATGTCAGGCTAACCGTGTGATGTTCTCGTGGCCTTCCTCTCCATGCAACGCGAATGCGGGTTAGTTCCATCAAAAAGTCCTCCACGAAGGCAAATTTCTCCGAATACTCCATCCAGGAGTTCCCTTGTTTCCTGGATTGGATTCAAAATTACAAGGCTACGGAGTTGAACATTAGTAGTCGTAAACCATAAATTGAATCGGCTGCTCAACGTCGGTTATAAGATTTAAAAAAAAAACATAATCTTAAATAGAAAGTAATTGGACAGGAATTTTGTGTAAAAATACAAAAGAACTTTCTTAATAAGATATGTAAGTTTAGTAATGTTATTGTGTAATCGTAACCCATAATCGATTGCAAAAAGTAAAAAATTGCTACGATTATAATATATGCTAATTAATTTTCTACAAGCTACAGTGGCGCTCACATATTTAAGGACATGTCTTTATGAAAAGTAAAATCCAAAACTTAATGTTCACGCATAAGTTTATTGAATTGATAATTATGTATTGGAACAAATAACTTATTTTTAATATATTTTCACAATGAAAATCATTTATCTAACTGTTATACTTAAATTATGTAACATTTTAGAAAAAATATGCATTCCGCATACTTAAGGACAGCAAAATAAATGTTTCTTAATCGTTAGTAAAATTAATAACAAAGTAAAACATGTAACAAAAAATAAAGATTTGGAGCTAGTATTTACTCGGTAAGCCTTTTGGGGCAATTACTGCTTCACATCTACGAGGCATCGAATCTACTAATCTTTAACATGGCTCAGGAGGTATAGCTGCCCAGCCTTCTTGGACACATTTCCATAAATCACCTAAATTTTTTTGGTTTTCGCTGTTTCACATATTTATCCACATCTATCCACAGCATCTTGATCGGGTTGAGATCTGGTGATTGGGAAGGCCACTGCAAAACCACAATTTTCTTGCTTGACAAGAAGGCCTTCGCAGTTTTGCTCGAGTGCTTTGGATCATTATCGGCTTGCATGATTGGTTTTCTTGAGCGAAGTTTCCTGTAATAAGGCAGAAAAACAGTCTTGATAATGTCCACATACACATGCTGATCCATGATGCCTTCGATTTTGTGAATTGGACCACATCCTGAGCGTGTCATGGCACCCCACACCATCACCCAGCCGCCTCCACCTTTTACAGTTGATTTTGTACACCGTACATTAAATTCTTCACCGACTCGACGCCTCACATAACTTTTGCCATCTGAGCCCATTCTGTTGAGCTTCGATTCGTCTGTAAATATAACTCGATTCCAGTTAGCCGATGTCCAGTTTCGGTGTCTTTTTGCAAAAGCTAATCGAGCTGCTATATTCTTCTTTGATATCAACGGTTTTTTCCTACATAGGCGACCTATAAGCCGAAACTGATTTAAATACCGTTTGATGGTATTATTGATTACGTGCTTGCCTGTTAATTCAGCGAATTCTTTTCTGATGTCCGGGACGGTTTTGTGACGATCAGCTTCAGAAATTCGATGAAAAATTCGATCTTCTCGTTCGGTAGTTTTGCGTGGACGTGATTTTTGGGATGCTTTTTCAATACTTTTGGTCACTAGAATAGATTTCAATGCTTGGAAAACTGCTGTTTTTGATAATTTTAACAGCCTACCAATTTCTCTAATGCTTAAACCTTTTTTTCTCAGAATATCTATTCGACATCCCTGTTCATTGCTAACATTTTTATCTTTACTCATAATAATGTTGAATTTTGTACTAAGAAAATTTAAAAAAATATTAATATAATATTTTAAAGCCTCAAGCAAAGATAATGTAGTAAATTACACTTACATTGATCGATAAATTGATTGTAATCATTCAATAACTCATGATTAGACAAACTGTCCTTAAGTAAAAGAAACTTAACAAAATATTTTTCTTTAATTAACTTTTATGAAACGCTTGTGAACATGAATGAATTATATGAGGATTGAAGTTCAACTAAGGTAGAATTCGTCATTATAGATATCTTGATCGAAACATAATATAATGACGCATTTATTTTGAAAACACTGTCCTTAAGAACGTGAGCGCCACTGTATATTTAAATTTACTCCAAGAGTCGATTGCAAAAAGTGAAAAATTGCTACGATTATAATATATGCTAATTAATATTCTACAAGCTATATTTAAATTTACTCCAAGAGTTGATTGCAAAAAGTAAAAAATTGCTACGATTATAATATATGCTAATTAATATTCTACAAGCTATATTTAAATCTAGTTTTAAATTATCCCGTCTTATATTAATTTGGAAGGGGGGGGGGCTATGTATTCCAAGAGTCGAGTGCAAAGAGTGAAAAATTGCCACTATTATAAAATATACTGATTATTACTCTACAAACTAAATTTAAATTATACCATCTTACATTAATTAGGAAATGTAAGATGTTATATACGTAAGATGAAATGTATGTGTAAGATGAAATGTAAGATGCTACGTATTTACTCGAAGAGTCGATTGCAAAGAGTGAAAAATTGCTACTATTATATACACTAATTATTCTACAAACTACATTTAAATCTATATTTGAATTATCCTATTTTACATTAATTAAGAATGGGGATATTTACTCCAAAAGTCGATTTCAAAGAGTGAAAAATTGCTACTATTATAATATACTAGTGGGCTGCGCCCTCTGCTCGTTAACGCTCGCTAACCCCCGAAAATTGCTACGCTATCTCATATGGTTTGCTTCGCAAACCAAGCTCGCTTCAACTCGCTACTAACTTAGGTACATTGCAAATGCACAAAATTCTAAGAATTCAAAACAATCATTCAAATCCATATAAAAACTTTTTTTTGAAAAAAGAATTACATCTTTTTAGTAAATACTAAGTCATTAAAATAAATTTGAATTCAAATAAATGACATGTAATTCGTTAAACCTATTAGAAATGTGCTAATAGTATAAAATCTTAAGATAAAATTTCTAAAACTGATATCTCTTTAAAAAGGTTAAAATTTTGGCTATAATTAGGTCTATTAAGAATTGAAATAAGAGAATTGCAATGGAAAAACCTGCATAAACAAATAAATTCTAGTAAAACAAATAAATTCGTGACATAAATCAAAAATCGTCAAATAATTTCGATAAAATACTAAAATAGAGATCTATCGACAAAGACTACTCACTTCTGCCTAGCTTATGCTCTCTCTGGTTATTTCAGTTTCCGTTTTTAAAAGCCGTATATGTTGAGCCACCTAATCTAGATTTGGCATGTGACATTTTTAGCAGCAATCATTGGTCGATTTTCTAGCGTTGCTATTCGGGGAGTTGCAATGAGGCTTTTTTTTGTCACCGTGTAGGAGAAATATATATATAGATACTAATTGATATTCTACAAACTATATTTTTTGAAGTTACTGTATTGACTTTTGCCCTTCTTCCTGATTTCTAAAATATCAGTGTTCGTGCATTGGTAAACAAAGTTTATTACTCATGCAATGAAATATTTTTTTCTTTCTTTCAAATTCCTTTTCTGAGAATACTTGCTTTTTTCAAAATTTCAAAAGTATGATGGTTAATTTTTTTTTCAATGACACAGATGCAAAGATTGAGAGTCGGTCAGTCACATCCAGGAGTAGAAAGTCCCACTGATGATGTGAGTTGGTCAGAAAACAGTTCCTTGGAACAAGAGTTGAGAATTCCGAGTTCTGCAGTATACGAAAATGGAAAGGTGAGCAATTAAGTTTTTTGAATCTTATATTTGCACAGATACATTTAAATCTGCTTAGCTTTTTATAAATCAATTAAATTTTCTTTAACACTTTTAACAACAACGTACATAAATTTACTACCGTGCGATAATAACAACAGATTTTAAAGATATACTTCAAAGCACTTTGACAAGGAAAAAAAAACATTACATGCCTTAAACTCGGAAATAAAGACTTAAATTTAAATTGTGAATAATATTTTGTTGAAAATAATTGTATTTTTAAGAAAAGAATAGCCTGGATTTTCAAACGGGTAAATAAATTTATTATTTTAAAGACTATTAAACTTTTTTAAAATATTGTTTATTCAGTGAGAGTCACCTATCTGAATGAAAATTATAAAATCAAAAAACAATTTTCAATTTTCTATAGAACGAAAATAAGGCAATATCTTTTGTTCTTAGAAAATTTTTTTGTTGTTGGAAATTAGATCACAAATGTATTTCCTTTTTACTAAGCTGCAATTCTTCATTTTTAAATTTTCCGCCATTTTTATAATTAGCACTGAAGACAAAACTTAATCTAACAGACACGAATAACAGTTACAAACTCACAACAGTTATTAAAATATCTTACTATTATTCACAAATCTCGCTACATATTTTAAATGCTCCTTCACACTACAGCATTGTTACTTCATGTAAAAGAGTGTTACTTCATGTGACAACTGAGTGTCACTTCATTTACTTCATTAACTCATTCAAATTAAACTTTTTCCAACTTGTAAAAAGTGTAACTCCAGCAAGGCTAGTCCTCAGCATCTACTTGATTGCCTGGATTTCACCATGGAAGAGGTTCTTGAGAGACCTCTCCTTTTCCTCGATTTTTTGAAGACTCACGGCCTCACGGATCTGGTATAGCTTCGCTATCCCAGCTGGGATCGGAAACAACAACACATTCGAAGAACAACCTTCTGATACTCCTTTCACTGTAAATGCTATAGAATAAATTGTTCCTCACTCTACAATTCTGCTTTCTTTATTTATTTACTTTCGTTTAGTAAAAAATCATAATCCTTAATTAAAACAATTAAAAATTAACAAGCGTGACATAAGAACTGTTAAGAATAAGAAAATATCAACGTTTAGCTAACAAAAGAGTTTTTTATTTGGTATAATTTTGTTATTTATGAATAAAATAATTTTATTTGATATAAAATTGGTGCAAAAATAGTTTCGCTTTTATTTTGTAATTTTAGTTGTTTTCTGTAGGTTTGATAAGAACATTTTCATCGTGACAGATTAGGCTCATGCATGACATATTTTCTAATTGTATCACTTAAAAATATATTTCCTAAGAGCATAAAAAAAAACAATAATTTCTGTTTCAACTTAACATATAGCTTCTATTTTATGTAAACTATTATTTGTTTTTAGATAGGTTTTATTCACTCATTTTCATAAAAATAATAATGAATTTCGTTTATTTTTAGATCACAAGGTACAGTGTTATCCCAACAGAAAGCTTAGAAGCTCAAAAGATTAGGAAGAGCATCTTGAGAAGCTTAGAAATTCACTTGGATGAGAAATACTTAGGAAGCAAACCAGATGAGATCATGCCAATCACTTACAATGTCACCAAGGTAAAGCCTCATTCCATCACACTAGATTTCGTATTGGATAACGGACATAACTTCAAAACGGAATAATAGCTACCTTATTTTTTAATGTATGAAAAACAACATGTTATCCTTAGTTCTACAAGGAAACTTAACATTAAAAAAAAAAAAAGAAACATAACATAAAAGTAAAAACTTTCATTTCAACTTAATGACGTTTAGGTGAACAGTATACACTGTAAAAAATTCGAGATCAAATTACGGTAAAAGTACAAAGCCTCAAGGTACCTGAAGTTTTTAGTATAAAATCTATTTTTACCGGAACATGTTACGGAGCAAAAAATTTTATATTCCGTAATTTTTACAGTAATAATTACCGTAAAATCACTGAATCAGTCTAACTAAATACTATATTACTGTAAAAATTACGGAAAAATTTTTAAGGTAAAATGGATTTTACGGCAAAATGGATTTTTCGATAAAATAGATTTTACGGATGATGCACCCAAAATGCTTGTTCTTTTATATCGTAATTTGATCCGGAATTTTTTACAGTGTAGATATTGAAAGTAACAATAAAAGTTAGAGCACGAAGTAGGTAAAGTAACGATTTTAAGTACAAGTAGCAGAGGTTTCAAACGGATCTTACAAATTTCAAAAGCAGTGACGAAAGTAAAACAAACGTCGATATCTCATTACATTTACACCATCGGTACAATTATTTTTTATAAATATCTATCCTCATGAGAACTTTAGGCTGTCTGGTTTCTAAACGTTAAAATGGCATCTTAAAAAATAAAATCATATTCGTATCAATGAAAATTTGAAGAATATTGAAGTTTATGGAGGTTATGGAAGAATAGGAAGTTTTAAAGAATATTGAATAGAATTGTGAGAATCATGATTTTCATAAAAATGAGAACTACAAATATTATTGTTAAATTGTATGTAGAAAAAACTAGCAATGTTTAAAATCAGTATAAATTACATAGGTTATTAATCAGGCAATTAACGTTTAGTTAACTACAAAAATATTTCATTGGTCACAACTTTGTTATTTATTTGCGATCACTATAATTTTTATAAGTGCAAGTTATATAAATTAGCGTAAGTTATTTGATCTGAAATGGTTTTTTTTTCTTACAAAATAATTGCATTAAGCAGTAAACATTTTAAGAATTTATTTTCCATAGATATTATTTAAAATTTAAATATATATGCAAGAGGGCATCTGTGTACAATTCGTTAGTGTTCACTCAACATGTTATTCCTTGTTTGAAGAAAATGAACATGAAGAATGAACACAGAATGAACACAATGAAGATGAAAAACACCGCTCAAGGAACTAAAAATCGTGAGAAAAATTTAATGGTAAAATTTACGTTAGAAGCACTGTTGGAAATTAAGAACAAAATATATTAAAAAGAATAAAAGAAGTAATGCGAGCTTACCAAACTAGTTGCCAAATCTTAAAATTATAATTAAAAATCTGATACTGAACCAATTTAAATGCCGTTTTCTATATTAATCATTAAAAAATGTGAAAATAAGTTAATTTAGATTAATAAAAATACTTATTTACTCACACACGAAGAAAAAGTTCATAATGGAAAAAAGCCATCAGCGGCAATGACTTTTCCAGTCATGGATTCCTTTGCAATTCTTAATCCTTATTATGTGCCCCACCTCCCCCCAGAAGTTTTCCGAACACCCTTTGTATAAAACACCCCATTCACAAATTAGAATGTGCTTATCTCAAAATAAAAATGTTTTATTTTGCAGAACTCACCTGGAGGTAGCTACGAATCCCATTACATAATAACCTCAAGTCCATATTACGATTTTCCATACGAAAAGAATGTATTCAACATCTCACGTTTTGACAACTACGAAGGAATTCCATACATCGCCTACAAGACACATCACAATTTCGAAAAGCCGGGTTGTCCAGAAGTCTGCAACACCGAAAACAAACATGGCGCAGGATGCCCACCCGGTCATGAACCGGTAAGTAATGTTTCTAAAGTAATCGATAATCGTAAGAGATAATTGATTCGCTATTATCAGTTTTAACTATCAAATGATGCAGTTTTAAATATAAGGTGTGGTCATTGATTTCCTTGACTGATCTAGTAACTCCTAAAGATACTAAGTGGAATACATATACCAGTTTAATACGTTTTGTATAACCTCCATCGTTGTTTTGTATTTCTATTCGGAAGGCCCTTTAATTTCGGCGTTTCTTACAGACTTTCCTTCTTTCTTACAGACTTTCCTTTCCAGATTTCTTACAGAGTTTTCTTACAGACTTTGACATATTTAAAACTTATTTCCTTAGCAAAATTTTCGATTTCGGTGTTTAGGGTGATGAATCATTTAACATACTTTTATTAGATTTTGACTTACTTTTCAGATCTTTAAGACTTTTTATTTTGTAAATTGAAAAATTCGCTAAAAGAACGAGGTTTATTGATGTCAAAAACATCAATAACGTCAGAATTGAAGAACTTTCGGAAAAAGGGCTTCAAAAGTTGTTTCTAAAACAGTTTCAACAGAGTTCCGAAATGATCAGGTGGAGGTTATTTCGAAAATATTAAATAAGTGTAGAACTCAAAATTTTTCCTGCAATTATTAAATTAATCCTGGTAATTAATAACCGCAAATTGCACAATAATATAGTATCTTTAAATCAGTCTTTATCATTAGAATATACCTGCATCATATCGTTTTTTTTACTCATTACAATTTCAGAAAAAATTCTTACAATTCAAAATTGTTTAGACGTTCTGAAATATCGTTTTCATAGCTTTCAGAAGTAGTATTATTTATTTAAATGCAAAATAAAACCACATAAAAACAAGCAGCTATAAGAAGACACAACAATAACAACAGCTATAAAAAATATTTATTATGAAAAAGACTTCAATATGGCTCTTTTTGTTCAAAACGTAAATAAAAATTCGAGATTCTAGTGGGTTAAGTGGGGTTAATTCCTTAGAAAGTTAAGTTGGAGAACTCCGGTAGAGAATAAAAACTGTACAAAATAATATTAATAAGAATTAAAATTGTTTTTTTCTATGTTTATTGGAAATTACTGTAAGGGTTTGGAGCTATTATCTAGTTATTAAGTATTTTTTTTTCTGTAAATTTGAGCAACTGCTTAAAGTATTTCAAAATGTAGATTTTTGAGAAGTGTGGATAGTTATAAAACTAAGTTATTCAGTACGTACTAATCTAATACAAAAATTTTTTTCTTCTCTTATTTACAGCACCGCTCTCCAATCAAACGATCTTTTGTTCAACGTTATAATTTGCTAACAGTTGGTTCCACCTTGATCATTGATTCAATTCACACCAAAGAAACTCACCTAGCCCAAGTGTATGACCAGAATATGGAGGTCACTATTCAGTAAGTAACGCTGTTAGACTCAGCAATTTATCATTAGTTTTATGATCATTTTTGATTGATTCTAATAAGGAGAACCAAGTAAACGTTACAAGATTAAATCAAGGTGAATTTGTCCATAAGAAAATTTAGAATTTCATGTATAGCTAATTAATCTATGTTTCTGACAATAAGATGACAGAAGTGGTTGCTTTATGGCTATTAAGGGCATCAATCAGCCTTTCAAGATTATATCAAAAAGCAAGCTGGATTTGTTCATATGATAACACAGCTTTTTATGTCATTTTTTATAAGTTGCTGGATACAACATGATAGAAGTCTGATGGCTTGTACATTCTTTTATGTTATCCACTTTGGAGCTTCCAGCATACTATAGAAGCCAATCGAGTTCATTATCTCCAACATCGGTTTTTTATGTACCTACAGGGTATTAAAAGAAAAATTCTTGATTACCTTCCGTATGGGTCTAATTTAGTCTCTTCACGTCGCCATTTGTTGGACTTTCTTAAAGAAATACCGTCATTAGTTTTGTTTTCTTTAACTGAAAGAAGTAAACTAACGTTAATAGATAAGAGAACCAAATGCAAGATTTTTTTTTAAAAAAAGGCATGATTTATTTGGCCCCGCATCGTGATAAATATTTAAACCTCTATGGTGTCTGCTTCCAACGATAATGTGACACGATTTGTCAAGCATAATAAATTTTCACGCATTCACATCTGCATCTCTGTCTGTCCACCTAAATGCTACTTTACTTTTTGATTCAACTTTGTATGCATATGAAATTCTAAGCTGCATGAAATACACAATATAAATTACATATTTACAGGAATTATGGCCTCGTATGCACATGGGGATGTTTCAAATAAAATATATTTATCTATTTTTCAGAACGGAAATGAAATTCAGAAAGGCCATTAGAGACACAATTCCGGACACAATCTCTGGTCAGCAAATCACTTCAGATATAAATGACATAAGCAGTGACATAAACGAAGAAGGTAGGAAGTGATATTTAAAAAAAAACTCTACTTAATACAATTATAATTTCTAAATTCAAAGTTTATTATTTTTAAATCTACGTGGTGATTTGTATCTTCTCTTTACTAGAAATCGAGCACATTTGCCAGTATCCAGACATCAACGCTTCCGTCAACAAAGTCCAGAGCTTGCTGAACACGGTTGCAGAAATTGTTCTAAAGAATGAGGTACAGGAAGAAAAATCGAAGAGAATGGGAGAAATGTTGGTGACCATACAAAAGCTCATGCAGAGGTTCCAGCAGGGTAATTTCAGAACTGTACAGCGATCTATTGTGAGCTACAGTGAAATGAAGCAATCAAGTGAAAAGGAAAAGATCAAAAGGTAGCTGAAAATAATATTTTAAAAGATTATCCTAAAAAATAATTGAAAGGGTAAGTGGATAAAATAGGAATATAACTAAATGCCATTGTGTTGTTGCTTCTAATGCCACTTGCCACGGGCAAGCCTGCTTGGTGAATCCGAGCAAATTTAAGGCAGAGTGTGCGTTTCTTGTTTTTTCAGTGACGTCATCTATGGCCAAGAATTCGACTTCTGCCACACCATACGTCACACCCGTTTATAGAGCTAACCCATTCATACATCCACAGATCGTAATTTTGACCTGAATCAGAGAGCGATCGATCTCCAATCCAGAACCCCCAGAGGTATTGATTTGTTATGGGAACATGGAGGACTTTTGCGACTCGACAGATTTAACGTGCATCAGTCACTTTACTACACGGGGAGTCTTCGGCCGGCGGGGTACGAACCCATGAACTCTCGGACATGGGCCCAGTGCCCTACCGACCAGGCTATCCCGACCCAGATACCATTGTTTTAGATGACTGACTAGTGCTTCATATACTTACATAGAATTTTTATTAGATTATCTGAGTTAAACAAACTTTTAAAACTATTAAGTTCATGTTTTAAAACAGAGCTAACGCAAACCTTCTTTATATGTACAAAGTATCTAATTTTTGGCAATGTTTACAATTTCATCAAAGCGATGACATACTTCAAATATTTCCGCATTATGGTGACCAGTGGAGTTTCGAATATTGAAACTGAAAAGTTTGATAATACTATAAGATATTAGATATAATATAAGATTTTATGATCATTTCAGTAAAGCAGTAAAATGATCATAACCATTCAAATCAAACGGTTTAGAAGATAATGCACCTAATCATTAATGTATAAAAAATATTTACTTACCACTTTCCGCGTACCCTTTCAGAACCATCTTTAAATGTTTCGTCCTGAAATGATTTTATGATTATCGATATGCCATGTCATTTTGTCAATGTTTCTGACCAGGCAAATCTGGATTGATCTTCTACCAATCATTGGAACATCTGAATCAGTGTCATTCATCGTTTCTTACATCAAGGAAGGTCTTAACTCAGGGAAACAAGATGTATCATTCTGGGAATCCAAATCTATTTTGGACTCACTACCTCAAAACATTCATAGACCCACTGAAAAGACCATCAACGAGTTGAGCGTGAGTATTCAGACAGATAGTTTCAAATAATAGCATGTCTTTTTTTTAAATTTAAATATGAATCATAAATATATTAATACAGGGTTTGTTGGAGATTTTAAAAGAAAAGGACACACCTGGACATATGCTCTTTGCATCCGCCCATATGGCTGTAGCCAAAGTCATCAGCAGTATGTGTTCAGAAGCATTTAGTGTTTCCGATGATCGAAGCGAATCTTCTCTATCCTGGAGATGGTGGATGCTTCCAAAGACAACAGACAAGGACAATAAATTCGCGTTCAACATGAAGAGACAATGCCCAGAAACGTTGGCCAGGAAATTCGTCGACGTAAGAAAACATTCTTTCACTTTAAAAGTTTATACTTTCAGTTTATTGTTGCATATTCAGTTATTAATCATTATTTTCACGATTATTCTCAATTTAATAACATTACAGAGATCACAAACACAATAGTGAAAGTTTATCTCCATTATGTTAATAATAGTAACAATCTACACTTTATTTAGTCTCATGACAAAAGTATTGTAGATTAAGTATATGCTATGCTGCATCTGCTGTACGAATTGTAACATTTTTTTAAGTGAATATGATCTACTATAATTAGGAGCCTTTTGCAGTATAATAATTTTTAACACTAGATTGCCCAAGGAAGTCACTTCGACTGCTATTTAATTTCAATCAGGAAAACAATGATGTATATAATGACACAATTTCTAAGAATTTTGTGACTTTTATAATTATTCTTATTGTGGATATTTTCTAATTACTTGTTAAATAACTGAAAATAATATCAAAAATATTAAAAATTAATTTTAAGCAAATTTCTTTATACATTAGTTATTCTTTCACAATGCTGTCATTTTGACTGCTTTTGGGCAATATAGGTATTTCAGTCTGTCTTTCTAGTGTTAAACAGTTACCTAATGGTGTAAACTTTCAAAACCATATTGTAAGTTTAGACACGGGTGTAAATTTTCAAAATTATTATTTTGTGTAGTTTATTTCTGTGCTTTCTCAAAGTAAAATGGTTGCAAGAAAGTTGATCAATAACTTAATAAGAAGCAATCACTATTTTATCGTAAGATTTTTCGAATATGTTTATTAATAAATTATACATATCTTTATTAATATCAATTAGTAATATGATAATTAATGAAAATTGAATCTGTCACATTTTAGAAACTGCTAAATCATTGGGAAAAAATAAAATGTTTATTTACTGAAGTTCTTAATCTCTTAAAGTTATTAATCTCTTGATAGCATGATTTATAAAAGAAAACACTATATGAAACTATTATCATTTCTTGATGAAACAAGCTCTTTGACACAATGGACACAAATGAGTTTTATTGTCACAGCAATTACTGTTAAAGTGCATTTCATTTCCTATTATCTGCATTTTTTTTAAATATATATAGATATATTGTAAAACTATCAAAATATACAATGAAGTTTTATTACTAAATAATCAAGAAATACTACTTCTCAAAAAACTACTATCGTCAAATTCGTTTATTATCAGCGATATGGAATACTTATATTTAGATGAAAGCGTATACGACTCTAGTATTCTGTTTTACTGTTGCTCATTAATACATATTTACGTATTGTAACGATTTCTTTACTAGGAAGTAACTCATGATCTACTAAGCACAAACAGCAAAGCTAAGCGAATCATTTACATCGAAACATTATCAAAAACCGGACTTGAAGTAGTTTTACCAACTCTGAAAATGTTCATTCATGGTAAGCCTCACGAGGATATCTTCCATGGTCTGAGCCGCAGCTATATCGACTACGTGAAGACAGCTACCATTTATTCTCTACACAACATTGCCCACAAATCTCCAAAAGCCGTAAGAATGCTTCTCTTTTAAGATTCATATTTTTACAAAGTTGAAAATTATTCAAACTTTTAAAATCTTCGATTTTTATTTTGTTTAACTGCAGGTTCAAGATATTCTCGTACCAGTTTTCTTCAACTCTACCGAGCCACCGAAACTCAGAGCTGCAGCGTTCAGCGTCATTTTACACACAAAACCAACATTGAGTTTGTTGGAACTCGTAGCGTTCCACAGCTGGGAAGAGCCAAGTGAAGAAGTTGGTAGCTACGTCACTTCCTCTTTGGAAACATTCGGAAACAGTTCCATACCTTGCCACCAAATTACGTAAATTATGTTCCCACAAATTATAAAATCCTTGTAAAGCATTCACATTGCATGCGATTGCTCTAAACGCAGGTGTGCATGTAACTAACTACATCTAAGAGTAACTGCTCGCGCTTGCGTAAATCGCATGCAGTATGGATGCTCCATAATACTTTTATTTAACATTTTTTGTGTGATTTTGCTTCTTTCAAAATTATCTACCTACTCGAAAAACAAATTCCTTCGTTTTTGAAGCCAAAGGAAGCTTTTTTGTCGAAAACGTTGTAATAATATATTTAATCTGTGTTAATTTAAATTAGTTGATATCTGAAAATCATATGAAAATCTGTTAGAAGCGCATTTAGTTCCAAATGTATAACACGAATACATCCCTTCTTTTTCTACAAATACAACCAGAATCAATGAGTTTAATTAGAGAAGGCGAGGCTCTATGCTTTTATCTGCATACTTATTTATGAGAATCTGTCTTCTTATTAACGAACAAATGCTGCTTTCTTGCGACTTGATTGATTGAATATCTTGATCTGTGAACTACAGTTTGCATTACCTTTTCACTACACCGACTATTCCGAACCCATTAAAAGTTTTTCCCCCCACTGTTATTGCTCCAACAAATTAGATTTCCTGAATTCATAATATTCAGCAATTTAGAAAATGTTTACTTACTGTTCATGCAAGAATAGGTGCTTGATCGGTAAGGACCATCATTTCTTAAAATACCAAAAATCTGGCCCAAGAACTAATTATTGACATAAATTCATCAAAAACCTATGCATAACATACTATATTAAATACGAAATTATAACTACAGTTTAATTGATTGAAAACAATAATTTCAGTTATTCCATTCTTAAAAGTACTTTTATTATGCTTTTTTTTAGTGCACAGCGTATTAAGAAAGTTATTCCACAAGTAAAGCGCTTCAGTGTTGGTGTGCACAAAGCTAAGAATGCTATCTTCGATTACTGGAATGGTAAGTGTACACAATTTTGGTATTTTTTCTTTGCACACAGTATCAATCTTAAACATAAAGTGTCTTATTGTTTTTTACACTAGATACCCGACGAATCGGGCTATTGCATCATATTGATTACATGCCAAGCAACGAATCTATCATTCCCAGTGCGATGTACGGATATTTAGGATACTACACAGACAGTATAAAAGATAATTATTTCGAGGTATTTATGGTGCAATTTAGACCATTTTTTTTAAATCTTTCGCTATATATGTTTCACTTAAAAGAACGGAAAGCAACTTTTGAAAAAAATTCAATCCCTAACAAACTACTCTAACTTTGCAACATAGAGAATTATGAAAGTACAGTTTTAGCAAAATCAATCAAGACAGACTTCTGCAGATTGATAATGTGAACCTCAATATACTACGAAGTTGTTCTTATCAAGAATAAGGCACTAAATTAAACCATGTTTCCGTAAGGTAATATAAAATTGAACGAATTATTTGCACGAATAATAACGTTCAACTTGTTACATTACAGAGATTGCTACATTAAACCAATATTCAACATAAAACTAATATTCTTATAGAGATATAAATTCGAATTGTGAATTCATAAAAGTGCAGATGCATTTTTTACACTGTATTAGCTAACTTTCCATTTAACTATTTAAAAAAAAGCATGCTTGAATTTAAATTAATAATTTACGCTGGATTTATATTCTTCCATTTATTTGACACTTAGAGGGGCAGGATGTTTTCTTTATAACTAAACCACCAGAATTGCAGAATTGTCAAAATTATTTTAATTTCGCTCAAGAAGAACTATTTATTAAAATTATTTTTTGCATTATTTTGTTTACTTTGGTTAGCGTTTGAAACTGAAACCTTTTAAAGAGTTAAGCGAAAATTGTTTTTGCAATCGCTTTTGTTAATTTCCATTAGATTACGCGTAATCATTTCGGTGTCTGTATTATTATTGTAATCACAATTAATATTCAATGCTTTGCTATATAGATACTGACGAATGCTTATTCTTAATTAAACAAATTACATCCCTTTGAGAAAGACAAATTATTGATTATAAAGAAGCATTTTAAAGGTAGAAGTAGAAATTCTGCTCAGCCAGTGATATAATCGAGAAAAAAAAAACATTGATATTTCGAATGAAAAAAAGTATTAAATCCCTTATATAAAAGTTCACAATGCTTGGTTGGACAGTAATAGAATCAATTGAAAAATTATCGATTTATTCTCTTCGAAACAATAGGCAATGCTCGATGAAAGTTATATTCCAAAATTTCTCTTCGTAATCTTAAATGAACTTAACTTTTATACTTGGTCAAAATATTTGAATAACGAATTACCAATGTAAATGTGTTTTGTACGAAAGCTGTTAAACAATTGAACTATTAAAAGACAAAAGAGGTGAGTAAAATGTGTCAAATCATCATTCCGAATTTTTTTCTTTTACAGTACGCACTTCTGCCACAAGGATTGTCAGCTCCTAAGATTTTTGACAGAATAATGAAAATATTCAACTCACCAGCAGAAGACATTCCAAAGAGTTCTGAAAGCAAGATTTTCTCAGATGTAAGTATGAGTGAAATTAATTAAAACCAACCGAGAATTCAAACCCACATTTCAGATGATCGGAGTTCTTCCAAAAAAAGTAGCAAAAGTTCCACAAAAAATACAATAGAAATAAAATGCAATGAAAGATATAATTTTTTATAATTAACCGTGAAGATTTTTCGTTTTGAACAAATTGTAAAAGCGAATAGATATTCAGTTAACCTCTCATGTAATTGCTTGTAAGTTCTTCTTTTTGCACCCAAATATGCTTGTATATTCTTTTATTTATACCCATTCTTCTATTAAAGCCCAAACTTTGATCCAATTTTGTCTGCAACATTTAATATTTAATAATAATGATCATAAAAAAATGTTAATTTTAAACTAGATCTTTGGATCACGAAGACAATGCTAGTTGTTGATTACAGAAAATGGTTAGAAACTTTTGCATTGTTATCAACAGAAAACAATGCTTCCTATGCACATTAACTTCCCTCTTAGAAATTAAATTTTGACAATAACTCTGATACATGTAGTTAAATCTGTTATTTTATTGATTTACTTCATTAGCTGATAAAAATTTGATAACACAACACTCACTTTTGCACTCTCTAAGCATACATGAATATGTATGTACTCACACGAGAATTTAATCTTATTTGACAACATGTTTATAAAAGGATTTTATTAATTAAATGCCCTATATTTAAACTTTAACAGATGTATAAAAGTACGTTGTTCAATTATTAAGTATAAATGTCATATTTAATAGTATCAAATGGCATGAAGATAGGATAACTTGAAACTCCACGAATTTCAGTTATATAATTTTCAGAAATTTTGGCTTTATTTGACATTAAATCTTGAGCTCTGACAGACTTGAGGTCAAGAAACTCGTTACAATCGCCGTTGGGCTCGAACTACTAGAGTGCGTCCAAAGGGGATCTATAACAGTCATTCCTACACCGAAGAGCCATTACATTATGACCACCCTGCTAATAACACGTAGGACCACCTTTAGCCCTCAAAACTGCTAGCACCCGCCGTGGCATTGATTCCACAAGGTGCTGATAGGTAGTCTGAGGTATCTGGTACCAAGCGCTCACCAACTGGTCCTGCAATTCCCTCACATTGCGAGGGGGTAGCATGGCAGCACGAATTTGGTTTTCAGAGTAGGACCACAAATGCTCTATTGGATTAAGGTCAGGTGAATTTGGGGGCCAAGACGTGACTTGAAAGTCACTGGAATGTTCCTCGACGATTCGACCCTTATGACATGGTGCATTATACTGTTGGTAAACACCATCCCCCGCAGGAAAAACTGTTGCCATGAATGGGTGAACCTGGTCTGCAACTATGCTCAAGTAGCTTACAGACGTCAGGGATTGTTCTATGAGGATTATGGGTCCTAATGTGCCCTATGAAAACATTGTTCCTGGGCAAGAAGCCATGAAAATCTGGGCGAGCCCATTGTTATAGATGGAGGGTGGTCATAATGTAATGGCTCTTCGGTGTATATTTATCCAGTTCTTCCAGCACTTATATTTTGTTATGTACTCCAATAAAGCACAAAAAATGTCGTTTATTAGCGAATAGTATGCCTGTGTACAAATAGTATGTCCATACATATTATGCAATTTTAAATGGCAAACAAAAGTCATTGAAATATTTTTGCAGATGAATATTGCATCACGTAACTCTGAACCATGGAGAGTGTTTGCATACAACAAGCTATTTTATTCCTCATCTTACTATTACTTTGATGAGGAAGAAACCAGCACTCACAGGAGTGACATCATGTCCTTGAGTAAGTAGGATTTCTTCACTCAATAAAATAATAGAAATATTTTTATAGGTATATTTGTAAGAAATTAAATAACACAAAATATTTCAGTTACCTCAGCAACATGTATCCGAGCTTGAATAAAATATTTAAATCCTAAAATGACCTCTTCAGATTTTATTTGATTGTATAATTTTTTACATCGTACATTAAATATTTTTCAAGAAAGTAAAATAAACTGAAAAAAATCATCAAATCATCACCAGTTAACAGATAACGTCCGAATCAAAAACTTCAAATGCATATTATACTCAATTTCAGTCACTGGCTCATAAGCAAATGGTATAAATATTAATTTTAACACCAATTCACACTTTCATACTAGTAGTTGTTAATAAAAAAATGTAACGGATTCAGAAAATAATTTTTATTAAATATTTATAATTTTAAACGACTAATAAACAATGAGGTTATTTTAATTTGAAACTACTGATTCAAATTAAAAGATTTTAATTATCTGGTTAAAATTAATAGTTCTGAGTGATGTCAAAATCTATCGACAAATCGTGATTGAATCAATCAATCAAAATTAACAGAAAAAATTAAAAACATATTAACAAAATGGATTGACACACTTCTATTAAAAACTCGTCCAATGAAAATAAAATAGATTATTGAATACAAGAAACAAATGAAATAAAATAAAAATATGACCACCGAAGCCGACGTCTTCAGGGGGTACCGGCCTCGGTAGCCATTAAAAACAAAACCATTTCTATTTGAGGGAGAAGCAAAAGATTAAAATATCTCCCTCAGTACCCTGATGGTTTTGTATAGAGGTCCAAGAAAAACAAGATACATTCAAAATAATAAACAAATTACGAAAAGAAAATCAATCAAAATCATCAGAAAATTAAAAACTCACAGTCACAGGTCAAGAATCAACTTCAAAAGCAAGTGGAGGAAAAGAAAACACTAAAAACTGAAAAACCAACGCCCCCTATAATAATGCGCAGTAGAAGTTTAAAAATGAAATGGAAAAGGTCAGGTGAAGGAGATACGTAGATAAATTAATAGAATGCTTAACTGGGGCTGCTCAGTTAAGACTAGAATTGCGCCCTGTTAAAAGAAAAAATTATATAAAAACTTAAAAATGTTTCTTTCATGAATAGTATTGATTGTCAAAGTTAGAAAGTTTATTCTGATTTCCCATTGCAATACGCTGTTTTTCATTTTTATTATTGTATTTACATTAAATAAGCAATTCTAAAGACGATTCAATCTATACTAAGAGAAGATGTATTCAGCGAAATATTTATTCATTACAGTGAAAGATGTATTGGATCACTACATTCAGAAAGACTCTCAGGGAAGATACTCCGGACACTTCACCAAACTCTTCATCCCCGCCTCATTCCATGCAAAAACCATTTCCCAATCCGTCCCATACCCTGTACAATTCGAAAAGAAACACCCCATCCTCTTCTCATTGAAAGTCGAATCAGAAAAGACCAGCTCAGATAAAATGGGCTACAAAGTACACGTCACACCAAGGTATTCTTTTCATAGATATATTTCTAATACTTTAAGAAAATAAACACTTTGTTAAGTACTCAATCTGAAATTTACACTCTTGATATTTTTACATAGATAAGCTCAATTGATCATCCTATTGTAGAAGACAAATTCCCACGGTTTTAAATTAAAATATTATACTCTAAGCATATACATGTATCTTTAACCTTTTTTTCTGTTTTTCCAAATATACCTCACTTTTTAAATAGTGTCTTTATAAATTCGGTACATCATGGTGAGAAATTTCCGATCGCCAGCTCAAAATTGGCGACCAAATATTTAACGCCAGCGAGTAAGCAGCTAAATTTCATTCTAATGCTATAGAGTATGACTCTAGTGTAACAGAATTTGGCTTGAGAATAACATATAGTCTGAGAGTCATGGAGTTTCACATTAGGGCTGCAAAAGACAGATTGTAAATCATGGCGAACAAAAGCTTTAATCTTGCTGGCACCTTTAGAGCTGAAATTGTTATGGCCTGCGGTATGTTCAGTGTGTTTAATAATCATTGTTAGTATATATTTATAAACTTTAAGAGAAAAAAGAGAAAACGAGAGTTTTAATAAAGAAACGAGGATTGATACGAAAATCTTAAATAAAGAAATTATTACAATAGATGCCACAAAATAATACTAAGTGAGAGTCTTTTTTTTATTTTTCAAAATTATAACCAACTATTATTGAGATTAATAAGGCAAGGAAAGATTAAAATCATCTAAAACTAGTTCGTTAAAGAGTAAAGATTGAAGGTGATTCCTGCATTCATGTCGCACTGCACAGATAAACATCGTTTTTCTCAAACCATTGCAAGGTGAAATAAAAATTTGAAATGAAGTGAAATGTACATTTATTTATTTACAATATTATGCGCAATTGCATTTTTTTTGTGTAAAACTCATTTCAAAAGATACGCTTTGTCCATTATATAAAATTCGACATTACTGAACTAGGGTGAAAAATTCATCAGAAATCAAATTTTCTGAAGCACTTTGAATATTATACATTTCAGCGTCTACAGTTCAATCATCCACACTAACGAGATCTTGAACGTGGGAGACTGCAAGAGGATTGGAGTGTACCACGAACACAAGACAGTAGCGACTTACCCAGTCACCATCAGCATAGAAGTCCAAAGAAATGGCAGGTTCAGTTTGGGATATCAGTTCCAAGAACTTCCCAAGAACATCTTCTCACACAGTTCCGAAGCTGGAACTTACGCTGGAAAGAATCATCTGGAACCATTGCCCTCCACTGAGGACAGAAGAACCATCAAAACAATTCCCTCACAGTTTGTGGTAAATATATTTATTGGCTCAGTCTAATTCCAATTGTGATATTTAAATATATTAATGGAGGAACTTAACGAGCGATATTTCAGAGAGCTTTGAGAAATCAATTTTACAATGTATAGAAGCACCAAGAAACTGCTTGGAAAAATTTTTAAGCATAAAAAAACCGTGCTTTTAACAGACAATATGTTTTTAACAAGCCACTTTCAAAATATCTTTTAACACGTCTTTCCGCTAAATACTTCATTTCTACTAAATACTTCATAATATACATGCTGTCCAGGTTTAACGAGAACTTCATCTGAGAGTCTTGGGTTGTCTGCTACCATGGAAACAAGAGTAAAGCAGACCATATGAGCTGCACCTTTCAAAATATCGTTTGACAAGTTCTTTCGCTAAATTCTTCATTTATATATAGTAATATATACGAGCATACTGTCCCTTTTCAGCTTCAACGAGAACTCTTCCAGAGTAAGAGTCGAATTGCCAGCTGCCATAGAAACAAAAGTAAAAGCATTTTTAGGGGGGGGGGAAATGAAGAGATTATAGGACTCTCTCACCCTCAACCAATGTAAAACGGTTAAGCCCAAGCTATTCTTAGTGACTTAGTTTCGTAACCACAGTAACCACCAGCACGCAAGTCTAATGTCTAAAGGAGTTCTCGTGAAAGCCGAACAATATTTTTAACCCGTATATTCCCTCTTTCCTTATTTACCCATATTGTTCATCAAAAGAAAATATTTTTTAAATTATCTTTTATAGAACTCTTACTCATGGAAGGTTTTAGGACAACCAACTTTCAACGGGGTGTATAAAACGGAGGATATTGAACATGGAATGGATTCCATGCCCCGCACATGGAATGAAGTTAATGAATACGTTTCACGACACGTTTTGAATGCTGGATGGAGGCGGAGATCAGTAGAAATTGTTAGAGCAAGGGACAGCAAAACATGGACACCAGGCACAGAGGTAAAGCACAAATAAATAATTAAAAAAACTGAACAAAAAATTGAACTTCATAAGAAATGTCAATATTTTCAACAAAGTTATAATATAGCTTCCAGTAATGATTACATTTATTTTTAATTATAAAATTGTTTTACTCTGTGGTCTACATACCATATTAATAAATGGATATAATGCCACCATCAAAAAGTTCGTGAATGGGCTTTTTAAAGCAAGTTCACGAACTTTCATATTTAAAGGTCGGCAATTTATTTATATTTTTAAAAAGACTGATTAGAGCAAAGAGTATTTAAATGGTTTCTGTTTCTAGCTGCAAAAAACTTTTCGAATGGAAAATCGAAACTTTCTGTGGAAAATTTCAAATAAGAAACTTATATAATTATTAACAGTTTGTGTTCTGTTACAGAAGAACTCCACTAATACGAAATTCTGGATAATCCCAACTGTTACATTATTTTTTATAAAAATTAGAAAGAATATGAAAATTTATAAAAATGTTAATAATAATAAAATTGTGAAGTTACCATTTGGATATTAGTACAATATAAAAGGTGGATTTATTATGGATTTCAGTTACAGGACATTTATGTGCACTATTTTTTCGAGCACAAGTTGTTCGAATGCATAATTCGAAAATCATAAGAGTATCGAACTTAATTTAGGTTGATGAGTAACATTATGTAGATTTTTGCAGCGATATGAATCGATTATAAATTGTTATAGTACTTATCGGTATAAAAGGAAGTATCATGCATTCATTAGCTTCTAAATTTATAACAGGAATACGTAATTCTACAAACTTTTGAACATGATCAATGTATTGCAAAAAATAACATAAGAAAGCCATTAACCCTGATTAATAAATTACGATCATATGCAAATATGCATTGCTATGAAACAAGATTGAAGATTTGACATCGCTCCTTTCCAATAAATCAGAGCGAAAAAAATTACGTAGATATCAATCATTTTCGCATTTTCGAATGATCCGAACAGGCAATGGATCAAATTAGTTTGGGATTACAGGTTTTTTTCTTCTGTATATTATCTACAAATGTAACTGAACAAATACTTCGTATATCCAGGTTGTATTCAATGTGCAATACTCGAAAGCCTTCAGTTCACAAGGAAAAAGTGGTTCAGAGAAATACTGGAGCAGGTATTTGGATTTCGATGACCGACTAGACAAACACGACGCTACTTCCTACGCCACTGAAGGACAAAAAATTTACCAAAAGTTGACCACAAGTTTGAGCCACTGCAAGCACAGCATCAGGGTTGAAGCAGTACAGAAAACTGGATCATCGTCAGAAAAAGCAGCTGAGTTGAACATGGAATATTTTCACACACCCGGAGGATTCTTGCACTTCATTCACTTCCAAACTTCATGCTCGAAACCTTCTACTCCCATCCAAGTAAAATTCTAAATAATTATTCTTTGTGATGTCAGCCGGATTTCAATAAACACTTATATGCCTTTTTTATGTTCATATATTAAGGTTACTGGCGATTATGCAATTGGTTTTACCCGTCGACCGAATGAATTCAAATACAATGAGGGATATGGACAACAGAAAGGAGTGGCGATTGGTGGAATTTCCTTCGGCAAGACCACACCCTTCGCAAATCCATTTGTCGTTGCTAAGGTAAGGGATTGTTTTTTCTAGAACATAAAGTATAAAAAGCATTCATTCACAAGAATAAAAAAGTTAGATCGGCACGTGGCACTCGCAATTAAATGAACATATACTCTATTTCTCTCTCATGCTGTTAGAAAAAGATTAAAAAATATCTTTAAAACTACCAATGCATTTTGGCTAATATAGCATTCAAATAATTCAGATTAAACGTGGAACAATGCTCCAAAACAAATTTATGGTAGAATCAAATAAATTGGAAAGTAGCAAATATGCTTTAACGTGTTCTCAACAATATTCTGAAGCCGTTCCGGTTTTAGAATATTGTTATTGTTTACGTTCAATTCCCAATTCATAGCTATTGGTACAAAAAAGTTAAATTTTATTTGCCAACAATGATCAGCAATCCACACACCAGAACAAAATTGACACACTCTAATTTCTCGGAACTTTCTTACGTTTAGATTAAGTCATAGAATTTGTTTTTCTTTTTATTTCGGAATGGCACAGTCCAGTTACATTTAACCACCACTTACTTTCGGTGTTAACGCAAAATATCTAAGCAGGCAACAGTGTGGTAAATAAGGGGTGTCAGAGAGAAGCCCAATGTATTGCAGTTGTTAGACTAGAGTAGAAACAGAACAATTAATCCGAGTTCCAAAATAGCAAGATTATTGGCTCTCGGGTCAATGGTGAACGGTTTCTTACGGCTAATTTTATTTTAATTTTATAACGGACGTTGAACAGTCAACCCAATTTTTAGGGTTTACGACTACTAATGTTCAACTCTGTAGCCTTGTAATTTTGAACCCAATCCATCAGACAGGAGAACTCCTGGATCAAGTATTGGGAGAAATTTGCCTCCGTGGCGGATTTTTTAAAGGAACTAACCCGCATTTGTGTTACATGGTGAAGAAAATCAGGAGAACCTCCCACTGTTAGCCAGACAGCAAGGGGAGTCTAACCCATGATCCGTCTACCTCTAAGGTTTTTCACTTCAGCACTGTGATCAGGTGCACGCCGGATGCGGAATTCGTATCGACTAGGATTCAAATCCGATTCTCCTCATTGGAAGGCTCAGGCTCTATCCCCTGAGCCATCGCGGCTCCCATGGTTAATTTTGCAAAATGATCGCGTGCTACCGTGACAAAGTTATATCGTGCAAAGTTAAATAGAATTATTTACATGGGATGTTAATAATGTTAATAATAAAATTAATAATAAAATTATTAAAATTCCATGTTAATAATAAAATTATTAATATGGAATGTTTCGCACACCACGGGCCATCGATGAAAAAGATTAATAACGGCAGCTTCTGTCATCTATTGTCTCGTGGTATGCGAAACAGACATGCAACCGGTAATCAACTAACAGCCCAAATGAGAGCCGCGATGGCTCAGGGGATAGAGCGTCCGCCTTCCAATGAAGCGAACCGGGTTCGAATCCCAGTCGATACGAATTCCGCATCCGGCTTGCACCGACCACAGTGCTGACGTGAAATATCCTCAGTGGTAGACAGATCATGGGTCAGAGTCCCCTTGCAGCCAGGCTAACCTTGAGAGGTTCTCGTGGTCTTCCTCTCCATGTACCGCAAATCCGGGTTAGCTCCATCAAAAAGTCCTCCACGAAGGCAAATTTGTCCCAATACTCGATCCAGGAGTTCCCTTGTCTTCTGGATTGAGTTCAAAATTACAAGGCTACGGAGTTGAACATTAGTAGTCGTAAACCCATAAAATTGGGTCGGCTGTTCAACGTAGGTTATAAAAAAATAGCCCAAATGAGCAAGGGGGCTACTAACATTGTATCCTGAACAATCGTTCAGTGAATGCTGTTTGTATGAGCCTCCACAATTGATGAATTGTAAAGCTTTTATGCTAATTGCAGTTCAATCATTGTCGTTCACTAAGTAGGGATTTTACAAGCTAGAACCACTACGGGGAGACCACTTAGTAGTCACTTCATGATTTCTTGGAATATTTCTAATTTATGTCCCATCGGAGAGATAAAAATTGGTGTCTACGAGGGGGAGTATCTACTGCTATATTTGTCGGAAGAGACTCACAGAGGAGATATTTTTGCTATGAGATTTCTTTTGACTCTAGATACAGCTACTGTAAAATGCACTATCAATCAACAGTAGTGCACATCTGTGCTTATGGACCTTCTCCGCACCTGCGTGCGAATTGTTTCTCTTTAACAAGCTGATGTCTGCAAGCAGGAGAATGCGTCTGGTTGCGTATATGCGAGTTTTTTCACTAGCATCATAATGAGTTTATCGTACTCATCTGACATTAAGCTTGTCGAGAATCTGTGGAACCTCCTCCATAAAGTGATTTGGTCATTATTTGATCAACCGCTAAACCTAGAGCAGCCAGTCAGAAGACATTGGTTTGGCATGGCTCCACACCCCTTTAGTACCTTTCAGAACTCTTCTATAAATATTCTAGATTTTGAGTGGTGGTCCCTTTAAAATGACTGAACAGTGTTTATATACGTCTCCAATGGATTAACAAAAAGATTGGCAAAACGAAAACCATCAAAGCTTATAAAAATTCAAAATAAATTAGGTTTCAAAATTTTTGCCGAAGTTTAATAACACGAGTTAAGGCTACTGGGTCCTTAATTAATTCAATTATGTTACCTGTATATTTTACAGTATAGAATACTTTCAACGATCGAGCTGAAAAATAATTTCAAATCATGATTCAGAAGAAAAAAATTAAAAACATGAATGAGGAAAGGGGTTATTGGTCTTCAACTTTACTCGAGTCTTAAGCAATAGAAATTAATGATTGATAGAAATATTTAATTTTGAATGCTTTATTTAAAGAGAAATAAAACAGCTGAACACACTATTTCTAATGCATTATTATTTATATAATTTTGAATCACTTAAAAAGTTTAACTCTAAACATGTTTATTGTTCCCCAGGCTGTATTCCAGTACAAACCTTTACAAGAAGTTCTCAGCTTGGAAGTAGATTCCAATAAATATGAACCGGACACTCACCAGGAATGCATGAAAGATAAACAAAGCGGAAACTATCAATCTCCTGCTTGTGTGAAGGCCATCAGAGAGAAGTCAATCTATAACAACTTAAGGATGCAAGCGATTTGGACACAGGTAAATGGATATACAATTTCTTAGATAATTTTAAAGTATTTAATTTTACATTGCAAAATACAAGATGTGAGAAAAATCGATTGAACAGTTCCTGAGGAATCGAATTTTAACGAAATCGTATGTTTAAAATTCGATTTCTCAGGAACTATTCAACCAATTTCGCTCACATTTTGTATTTTTTCATGTAAAATTACATACTTTAAAATTATATAAAATATTTTATACCTTACAATTCAAAATTTTTTGACTATTATTAATAAAATAATAAAAATCTACAAAAGTTTAGTTTTTGCATTAAATTGTCTTTAGATAAATGAAATTTATAATTGTGCTCAAAAATGCTTCAATTCATTTTAAAAGTTCTCGAGATATGGTAAAATTAACACTTGGGGGTCCAAACTTTGGATCGCTCTCTTGACCAAACTATTGGGACTATATTTCCATGGTTGCGACTACCCCCTATACTTTGGTAGTCAGAAATTCAAATCCGTCGGAAACAAATACGTTTATTCAGAGAAAGTCTGATTTCATTACTTAAAATATCGTCTGCACAAATTAATTAGCATACTTGAGGTCACCACCTTGAACCATTAAGAATGAATCCTAGAGCGTGAAGATCCGATCATTAGATCAAAAGTTATTCAGGGTGGTTCATATTTTATTTTGCGCACTTTACTATATCATCAAACAGATCGGTTTTTGATGCAAAATTAAAATAGAGATCCCACATTGAATAGACACATACAAATGAAATAAAGCTTATGATAAATGAAATCCCAATTAGTGTATTTAAAAAAATATTTCAGATTACCATCTTAAACGATTTATTGCAATAGCTGACAGACAAAACTGCTTCCTATATCCACTTTAATTGAGCAACGAGAGATATTTAAGATTAATTTAAACAGGCTTCAACTCAACGGGAAGAAAGTCGCTTAAAACTACAAAGAGCAAGTTTCAAATCAATTAATATTATTAATTGATTTGTTAGATAATGTATACTTAAATGCTCCTTTGTACAAGTTTCACAGTTTTCATCAATCAAGTGTTATAAGATCTATAAGTTTAAAGCAACTACCAACTATTAATACGATATAACTTATAATGTTTGAATAAATTTATTTCCCAATTTGCTTGCTTAAATTCTATTCAACTTGAAAACAAGTACAAAACAAGCTAGCAGTAACAGCTACAGGCGCTATTAAGGACCCATTACAATTGCCTATTTTTTTGCAAAGTATTAATTAGTTTACTTTTTATTAAAGAGATATTAATTGCCTCGGTTATTTTCCTTCAATACGTAATTCCAGTTCTTCTTGCTGCACTAGTAGGTTGAATAATTTTACTTATTATTTATTTGTGATGTTATGGATAATCTTGTTTATTTTTTTGACTGTTTTAAAAAAGTGAATAAAGTAGAATTTGATGATACGAGAGGCGGCAACGATTGCACTGTGCCAAGCGTTAATGATATTACGTAATCAAGGCCAGCTCATGAAATGGTACAATAAAACTGTCTAATACAAAAAAAAAATGATGGGGCAACTTAAAATCGGGAGACTAGTATATACCTACTTTAGGATTATTTTATTAAGACTATTTGTAAAGTTCTAAATTTGCAAAAAATAATGATACCAAATACTTGTGTAAAGTCTGCAGGTCTCACAGGAAAATGCTGTGATTAGGACATTAAGAAAAGTTTTAGAAGAAACTTTCATATAGCTTTATCTACACAGGAAAAAAAATACATAAAAAAAGGGCAGCAACGGCGAAATTTTCGATCCTTACTTAACAATCTAAATTGGCTTGACATTTTTGACGAATATCGTAGCTTCCATACCATAATATGCATTTCTTTGAACAAATTTTAAGATATAAATAGAGTTATTTAGATAAATTAGATTATTCAGATAGATTTAAATATTTTAGATTAAGATAAAATAGATTTTATTACTTTAGTGTTTGATCTTTGTATATTTTAATTACTAAAGTCAGAATTTTTAAATAAAGTAATACTATTTAAATTTGTAAAAATCTACTATTTGTTCGGAAAAAAAATTTCGAAATTCTTCTAGACCACTCAAAGTTGCAGATAAATATTCTCAAGAATAATCGAGAGTAAACACATTCCGAAATTAACAGTTTGATACTAATAACTTCTAAAAAGTTGAAGGGATAAAAAAAAATTAGAATTCGCCTAATTTTCAAGGCAGAAAAAAATTATACCATCTTAAATTGAAAAAAAAAACAATTCGGCACAACATTGTATTCTTATGGCAATAATACACAAAATAATTTCAGTGAAATTTTGTTTTCATGTTTCAGGAGCCTTCTAATGGCATTAGAGAAATCGGTCAGAAAATCGATTCCGCTTTGAAATACGTTTTCTTCACCCACATGAATGTTTCTAGAAAATTCAACTCACCACGATCTGAAGAAATCTCAAAGTCATTCCACCTCGAAGCAACCTACATCGACAAGATGACACACAAACCTGTTGTTGACATCGTTATGGAGAAACCCACTGAAACGGTCAATTTCACAAAGATTAGTGTAGGAAAAATCAGACCAGTCTCTAGCATCGAAAGCCTCGTCGAGTCTTACGCCGCTACTTTCACAAACAATACGTATCCTGGTAAGTAGTGAGAATCAGAATTAAAATCTTTATGCCAGTGAAAATAAGGTTTGAAATCTTTCCGTAGATTTTTGCAAAAAAGATTTTTTTTTTTAAATTTCTTTTATAAACTAGCACTGAAATTTCTCTGCACATCAGAATCAGAATAATCAGATAATGCAAAATCAGATGTGCAAATCAGAATATTGAAATATTTCTGCACATTTTGCAAACCAGAATTGAAATAGTTTTGTAAATTTTATAAACTAGCATTAAAATATTTTTCATACTCTTGTAAAAGAGAAGTGATGTGTCAGTTGATCAGAATTGATAAATCGGTTTATTAGAATAGATAAAACGGTTCATTTGTCCAAAGAATAAATAAACAAGCACAACAGACAAATTTAAAGACAAACTGTTTTTAAATTATTTTTCTACGGACGCAACAAAGATAATACAATTCTTCTTGCTACGACAGCTCAACGCAGACCAGGATTCTATCAGATTTTTTCTATCAGTTTATCAGATGCATGCTGTTTCCAATTAGTCACCTTTAATGTTTTCAGATCTTTCTTAACATCATCAAGTAATCTGAGTTGTGGTTTTCAAATGCGACCTGGCCTTTTGAGGGTTAGCAGCTCAGAGCAGTTGCTATCTTCTGATATAAATAAGTACCCGGGATACTTTGTTCGATTCGATGACTTTTACAATGTAAGATTGCTTATAACGATTATAAATTTCACGACTGCAAAGAATTTGTCCGAGTTACTTTTTCGGACAGCATCGAAACTTTTATGTTGTATTTTTGTTTTACAAATTAGCAGCCAGTTTATGACATGCTTACTCTATGTCCAACTTTTGTTGTCATATAGGACCATCCAACATACTGATATTAGTTCCATTGGTAATTGTAGAGTATCTACCACTACAAAAATATAATACCAATTCACTAGTACATGACATGTTAACTCGATTCCATGTTGGAGAACTTTTTCATAGATGAAGGTTGACATTGACGATAGCTACCATCGCCACATTGGTGACCTTTGGACGTGATATGAACACGCCTACCTTGACAGAAACGCCCAATGCGATTTGAACACGCCTACTTCACACTGAATAGCTGACTTGCTACTGCTACATTATTCACCTCCTGGCGCTATTGTTACCAAGTATCGATCACACATAACGTACAACGTGTACACTCGACTGCTAAAGGCAACACAGGAGCGACCACGACCGTGAACTTAATACAGCTCTCACATTCAGCACTCAAAAAGTACGGTGATCTTAATACAGCTCTCCCGGCTTCTCACAAAGCAGCAATGAATCAACTAGTGGTATCCGTTCATCGAATTGTATCACAGTTAAAATTCTGGTGGCGGAGTACTGTAGAGTATCTACCACTACAAAAATAAAATACCAATTCACTAGTATATAAGACATGTTAACTCGATTCTATGTTGGGGTACCTTTTCATAGATGAAGGTTGACATTGTCAGTAGCTACCATCGCCACAGTAATGAGACATGATCTTGGTTTTCTAAGACAGAAGTAGAATCTGTTCAAGCGGCGACCCATTTCAACATTCATTTCATTTTTGTTATTGGCAGTTGTCCCAAGACATTTAAGCTCAGTGACATACATCTGAAATATTTAATTTTTTCTTAACTTTAAAATCTTTTATTCATATTCTTCTAATTATTTACTTTAATTGCAGCTACCTGTTCATTGACTGGCAACTTTGTTAAAACATACGATATGAAAACTTATCGTATGCCAAGAAGCACCCCAGCTTGTAGTTATGTTCTATCAACTCACTGCACAGAGAACAAGAAATTCTCTGTTCTAGTCAAACACGATCCTAACTCTCGTGGTACAGAGGTAAGAACAAAACAATTTCTACAGTATGAATTATTTATGAAAATTTGCATGAAAATAATTTGTTATTTTTGTCTGCAGGAAATTCAAATTTATCTTGGACGGGATGAAATTGTTCTGGTACCAGGAACCAGGAATTCATATAAAATTAAATACAATGGTCAATACCTGACTGCACGATATTTGGCACCTGTAGTGCTCAATGAAGAATCTCGTCTCACTGCTGTGGTATACGTAACTAGTGACGGAGGTAGTTTTATCGAAATCAAAGCCAAAGAAGCTGGTGTTAAAGTCCTCTACGATGGCGTGCACGTTAAAGTACAGGTAATGAAATCTTTACTGTTCTGAAATCTTTTTAAAGTAACGCCTGCGCAGTTTATAAAGACTACAGAAATTTTTTTTTAATCCAGCATAATCAATGAAAGATTTTCAATAAAATCAATTATTTAATGACTTCTACATTTTACCGTATACATACATAATACATAAGGGAATTATCTTCAGTTTTCTATAAAAAAATTTATTTAAAAAAAATACTACCTTTTTTATATGGAATTTAGAAAGGGTTTTCAGCAATTCCAGGCCAAGGCACAATTGTTCTTCTCTTCATCCCCTTGATCATGGCTTTAGTTTCATACATAGCAACTTCTACTATACTTGGATTTAAGGGCCGGGATAGCCTGGTTGGTAGGGCACTGGGCCCATGCCCACGAGTTCGTGGGTTCGATTCCCTCCTGCCGAAGACTCTGCGTGAAGTAAATGGTGACTGATGCACGCTAAATCTGTCGAGTCGTAAAGTTCTCCATGTTCCCATAAGAAATCAGTACCTCTGGGGGTACTGATCCAGGAGCCTCCTTGTCTTCTGGATTGTGTTCAAAATTACAAGGCTACGGAGTTGAACATTAGTAGTCGTAAACCCAAAATTGGGTCAGATGTTCACAACGATGGATATAAATATAAATATACTTAGATTTTGAACCGTGATGGCTCAGGGGAGAGAACGTTCACCTTCCAATGAGGGTAACTGGGTTCGAATCCAAGTGATGGCTGGTCGATACGAATTCCGCAGACTTGCACCGAACACAGTGAAGTAAAATATCCTCAGTGGTAGACGGATCATGGGTTAACAGTGGGATAACAGTGGGAGGTTCTCGTAATCTTCCTCTTCATGTAGCGCAAATGTGGATTAGTTCCATCAAAAGTCCTCCACGAAGGCAAATTTATCCCAATACTTGATGATCTAGAAGTATTGGAATGGGTTCAAATTGCAAGGGTACGGAGTTGAACATTAGTAGTAGCAAACCTCAAAAATTGGGTCGGCTGTCCAACGACGGGGATAATATAAAATAAAATACTAGGATTTAATAGACTCTTTTCTTTGGTAGGTTGACCCAAGATATAAAGGAGAGCTGTGTGGTCTTTGCAGTGAGTTCAATGGAGAAATCACCAGGGAATACAGAGGAGTGGAGCGATGCCTCTACATGAATGAAGAGGACTTTGCTAAATCCTCCATCGTTGGTCAGTGTGGCGATAAAAGACCACAATTCAAAGTCCTCTGCAGCAGTGATGACGTTACACTATGGGGACGGAGACGTGGTGAATCGGATGAAGATGAGGAAGAAGAGGGTAAGATTAATTTTTTGAGAGGTGACAATACGGCTGAAGAAATATTTTATGCCAAATTCGCTTTCACCTACGTCAATAATTTAAAGTGTAGAAGAAGTGATTTCAGGAAAACCAAGAGCACAGCATTAAATTTCAAATGCTGAAACAATGTTTTCAAAATATCAAACCGCAAACAAATTATTGAAAGACAGCCTCCTCCCTGAGTAATTCTGTCATAATTTGTTTGAATTTGGATATTTTGAGGAAAAAAACTTCATGGTTTATTCTAGGTTTATTTAAAAATAACTTTTTCTATACTTTATTTATGTAAGTGAAAGAAAATTTGCCATGTAGGGTTTCTGAAGTGGCATACTGTTTAGAGAATAAGTCTGACAACATAATTCATACAGCTATGAATTCACATAAAAGATCATGTCATCATTTTTTTTGCTACTAAATTCGTTTAAGCGAAACACAACAATACAATGATAGATACCCACTAAACTTTAAAATATAGCATAAGATATATTAATTTATAAGTTTTAGAGAATAAGCCTAACAATATAATTCATGCAGTTATAAATTGCCATACAACAAAATAAATTTCAATTCTAATATTTTTTTTACTCAATTTACTTAGGGGATGATATAGAACTGCTATGCTTTCAAATATAGACTTATTTTATCAGTTTTTCTTTTTAAAAAAATTTATATAATTCATGCGTTTATAAATTAACAAAAAAAATTATAAATTTTTACACAATTTACTAAACGGAAACATTATGCTGATGATATGCCTCCACCTAAATTTTAAATATAACAGTATTTTTTTAAATTTGTCAATTTTAAGGAATTCGCCAAACACTCGAATTTCTGAAGTTATGAATTTCCAAAAATAACAAATTAAATTTAAATTATACCTGTTTTTTACTTAGGGGAAATAGTGCGCTCATATATATCTACTAAACATACATACATATCATTAGGCATAATGATTTGTGTTATTGATTAAAAAAATGAATAAATGATTTTAAAAAATAAAAATTATCATTTATAAATATTTTAAAAAACATAAATTTAACAAAATTGAATAACTGCAGAACAAAAAGTATCTTGATAACGTAGCAAAATTTTATGATAAAAGCAGCAACTAGCTTTAATTAATAAAAAAATTGTTTTCTTTCCATGTAAGTTGAATATTATGTGTAATCTAAATTTCTAAAATGACAATAAAGGCCCAACTGCATTATAACGATTTGCCGGGCAAAAAACAAAAGCAATCTGAAATAACGAGAATGAAAATTTTTTATAATTGCTGTGTCAATGTTACCAGGGCATTTTCAAGAATTCATAATATTTTACATGATCATTCAATAATTAGAAATTTAAGGAATAAAAATTTATGCAAACATAATCTTAGAGTCGCGATGGCTCAGCGGATAGAGCGTTCACCTTCTAATGAGGTGGACCGGGTTTGAGTCCCAGCGATGGCTGTTCGATATGAAATCGATCACGGGTTTCGTGGTCTTCCACTCCATGTAATGCAAATGCGAGTTAGTTCTATCAAACAATCCTCCATGAAGGCCAATTTCTCCCAATACTTTATCCAGGTCTCTTCTTGTCTTCTGGATTGGGTTCAAAACTACAAGACTACGGAGTTGGACATTAGTAGTCGTAAACCAAAAATTTGATCGGCTGTTCAACGCCGATTATTTAAAAAAAACATAATCTTAAATAGTAAGTAATTGGTCAGGAATTTTGTATAAAAATACAAAATAACTTTTCTAATAAGATATATAAGTTTAATAATGTTTTTGTGTAACATGATACAAACAAAATTCTGAAAAATAAAAGGAAATATTTAAGAAACTATGAAAATGCATAAGAAATCCTGTATAAAAAACTTTAATATTGCAGAACCAGTAACAAAACAGAACATTGTGACCACACGAGGTAACGAACTCTGCTTTTCCACCAAGCCTGTCCCAGTGTGTGAAAACAGTGCTCAACCCTCCATGACTGAATCACGCCAAGTTGACTTCCATTGCCTGCCAAAACAAGATATTCACGCCAGGAAGTTGGTTACTGAAGCCAAGAGAAGGATTCTGGAAGAACTCGAAACAAAAGCAGTAGATTTCTCAGAAAGCATTGAAGTTGCCAAGATGTGTTAAGATTTTAAGCAGCTCATGAACTTTCACTAATTAGGATGTTTATTTTTAGGATTAGAACCTTTTACAATTTTTTACAAAACTTTGTACAAATTATGTTGCAATAAATCTTATACAAATAAAGATTTATATTCATTTATTAAAAATTAAATAAATGGCACATATATTACTAGACTTGTAATTAAGTGATAAATACTTGTTCTAAATAAGTATTTAATTCATATTTTCGAGGAAATAAAGATAACTCACGAGTTTGATTAATAATAAATAATTGTATACATAATTAAACATGCATCTTTTTATTTACACTTTTTAAGAAATAAAGCGCTTATTTAGAGGTAAGTGAATTTCTTTTAAATGAAACTACAAATTTATATAATGGTAATGAGACCTTATTCTTGTTTTTCCAATAAACAGAAATTGTTTAAAAAAAACAGAAGTAAAACTGATAAAAAAAACACAAAATTTTGAAAAACTTTGCTATTAAATTCTGTTTTTCCAACTCCTGTATAATTGCAAAACTTAGTTTCGTTTTTGTTTGGCTTTCTAAACGAAAATCTTTATTTTTCATCATTTTTATGAGTTTTATGCCCTTAAAAGTTAGTACAGGTAGATGTGGAAACAAAATTGCTTCTTAGTCAAGTCAGTGCATTTACATCAATAATTTTATTAATTAAGAAATAAACTACCAAAATGATATATTTATCTTCAATACAATTCTAAAATAAAACTACATAGTTAGATAAAGTAACAGAGTAAAGATAAAACTACAACTAAAGTTAAGCAGTTTTATATAGGACTTTGCAAACCATCCCTTACTCGTTAAATAACCAAGCAATTTGGGTACGTATGTAATGAAAAATTTCTCCTCACTACGTAATTTTTTCATTAAATAAAAAAATAGCCTGAAAGTAAGCCAAGGGTAGTAAGCATGAAAGTAAGCCAAAGAACTACTTCTTTTAGGAAACATAACATTATGCCATTTAGGAAATAATATGCTAGAACTGTTTTATTAGAAATAGTTGCTCACAACTCTAAGATAAAATCTGTCTACGTCGATGCCTTTTAGGAAATAATATGTTAGAACTGTTTTATTAGAAACAGTTGCTCACGACTCTAAGATAAAATCTGTCTGCGTCGATGCCTTTTAGGAAATAATATGTTAGAACTGTTTTATTAGAAACAGTTGCTCACGACTCTAAGATAAAATCTGTCTACGTCGAGGCAGTGCCTTCTATGTAAATTATTAAAATCCAACAAAAAGTCAAAACAAGAATTTTTTGAGAATGAGAATAATTTGAAACACTGAGAATTGTTTATCTCCATTGTCGACTTTTCTTGTCCAATCTTTTTGAAAGTTCGGAAGATTCTTTATAGCAAGGTAGTATATAAAGTTTAAAGCTAAAGCTTTTTATTTGTCTTAAGGAACTAAAACTGAGTCTTTCTAAATCTGCTTTTTACTGTCCTTGGCAGAAGAGTTTTAAAAGACATCCCCAATAGAATGTGACAGGCTATTTATTTATAACAAGATTTCAAGTGATTGATAAATTTCTTACGGATAAAATAGTTTAAATAAGTTGTTAAACAAATGGGACACCATCAGTGGCGTACGCAAGGGAGGGGTTTAGGGGTTCAAACACCCCCCTTGAGCTCCGATAAAATTGCAAAAATAAAAATTTTAGTAGAAATTATGCGAACTATTATTTTTTAAGACTATATATTTTTATTTACCCTATGCCTACTTTTTTTTCCTCACGGTATTTCTCAGAATACTGAATAAACATTTACAATAATAGGGTTGTACTTTTAAGACCAAATTTACGTGATACTGTTACGAACTAGTTCCTTTCTGTCCTGCCAGTATAGTTTTCGAAACTGGCTGTCATTCGCGAGGTCTTTACGCGATGATTCTGAAATCCTAGACCAGGGATGGCGAACCAATGTCACGCGTGCCATTTATGGCACCCGACACACTATTCTGGGCACGCCACAGATCACAAAGTTCACTATGAAGCTTATTAACAATCAAAGTAAATTCGCAAAAGCAAGCAAAATAAGTAAACAATTATAAACAAAGAAATTAACAATTTATGCTAAAAATCAATTTATGACCATAAAAACCAAGCTGACAATAAATAACCGGTAAAAAAAATTTTAGCAGTCCTGCTTAAACTAACATCTTGCAACCTAATATAAGTTATTTGTCATCTAATCAGCAACCGAAGTCACACTGATGTTACTTTAAGTTGAATTACGCTGATAACTGACACATTCCAAAATGTTTTTTTTTCCTTAGTAAATAAAGAGTTTTGAGTTGATAGTATTTAGTATTATTATTTTCCCAATAATCACGAAGTCAGAATTATTTGATGGCACGTCCATGACCACATTAAACAATTTTTTGAAAAAATGACCCATTGGTGCATAAAGGTTCGCCACCCCTGTCCTAGACGTTCTGTCGTCTTTGAGAGAATTCGAGAATTTTAGAGATGCAGTGCAAAATTATATAAAAGGGGAACGGAGTACAGTGGAGTTAGTTAGTCAGACTAAGAGTTATCTCTGCCGCTTGTCTTTCGGAGCTTGTTGCTAATTCTGTTTTGTTTTGTCTTAACGAAAAGTTCATTCAATCGCCGAAGCCGTCGTCGCCACTATTTCGACTAGTGAAGAAATCAGTAACAATACCATTGGAGATACTGTGCTCTGCGAATAAAATAATTTTGTTTT